CTTTCTTCCTTTCTTTCTCTTTCTCTTTCTCTCTCTGTGTGAGTCTCTCTCTCTCTCTGTGTGTGTGTGTGTGTGTGTGTGTGTGTGGTGGGTTTCAAAAAATTTTGGGAACTTCTTCTGTAGGTGTGGCCTGCTTTCCGGGTCCACTGGTGGAACCTCTTCTAACTGGTTCGGTAGATTTGACAAACCGGTTCTACCGAACTGGTGCGAACTGGTAGGAACTCACCTCTGGTACAGCTATACTTCCATCAAGACAGGCATAGGAAATAATTCAAATCAATGGTTTAACGTGCTTGCTTATTGATATTGGGCTCAATTTTGCCTACACCAAATTCAGATCACATTAGTAATGGATGCCTTCCAGCTTCTTGCTCACTCAACCAGAATCTCCTCTGATGGCCAATCTTGCTGAGTAGCTTTCTGCGTGCACTCTTCCTCTTTTTGTAACTCCAGACCAAATGGTGAAATTATGCAAAAGATGCCAGAATTCCTCCAAATTAAACCAAATTAAGTTAAATTAAATGTTTAAAGTATCAGGGATCTTCCTTTTTAGAGCCTGTACGCTTTACAGCCACTTGATGCCTTACAAAATACTGGAAAAATTCAGTAAGCCTAGGAAGATTTATCTTTAGGGATGAGGGTGCTTATTTGAACATAGGCCTGATTCTGACTCAGTGATTCAGAAAGCCTCCCACATTCATGTGGACTTCATTCGTCTTTTAGGTTTTTTTTTCTCCCCAGGGGAAAAGAAAAAGAGAGAGAGAAAAAAAGAATGCTTGAGCCACTGAAGTTGCACTTTGTAACTTTTCACAGCAAGAAGCATATAATTAAACAGGGATATTCAAAGGCATTGCATGTCATCAGACTTCAAAGAGAGAAAAACATATTTTGCTTCATTAGATGCGCCGTTGTTTGTCATTCCAAATGTCAGTGTAATAGAGGGGAGTGCAGTCTGCCTAAGATTAGAAACATTTCTCTCTTATGTTTAGAAGTGCCATTAAAAAAACAACACCCCGAAATTGTATGGATTTGTTTGGATTGTTTAACTTAATACCTGTGAGATAATTTGGCACTAGGCTTCGAAGAAGCTCCCTCTGTTTTTCAACACATGAAATATGCAACAAAATAACAGCTGCTTCATTACAGTCAGAGATAGTGCAGAGATAAACAAGACCTATGTTCGGTGGTGAAATTCAATTTTTTTTACTACCGGTTCTGTGGGCGTGGCTTGGTGGGCATTGCAGGGGGAGGATACTGCAAAATCCCCATTCCCACCCAACTCCTGGGGAAAGGATATTGCAAAATCTCCATTCCCATCTCACTCGGGGGCCAGCCAGAGGTAGCATTTGCCGGTTCTCCAAACTACCGGTAATAAGAATTTCTGCCACTGGTTCTCCAGAACCTGTCAGAACCTGCTGAATTTCACCCCACCTATGTTACAAAAGGTGGGGATACCCCTTCACATAGGCCTTTGTAGGGAGCACAC